CACTCTGGAGGGGAATGTCACTGAGGTGGTACATGAATATAAATACCTTGGAATTGGAATTGATGACTCCCTCACAAATGTGTTTTAAAAAACTGTTGGTGAAGATTCTCAGTCATCCAGGTCATAGTCATTCCAAAAAAAGAAAGTTAAAAACAATCCACTGGACTTTGTGTTGGGATCTGGAGGCTTGTCTACTTTTTCCACCAGGGGGCGCATGAGATCTTCCTCCTGAGGGCATGAGCTGACTTCAACAGCTGTTTCCAATCTGATCATCTAGAGCCCTACTTAAGGAGGAGGAGGCTGACACTTCTCTGCCGGAGTGTTTGCCAGTAATGGTACCAGCAAACCTGAGCCAGCTTATCTGATCTGTACCTCTGATTTTGTGAACAAATCTGACTCTGTGTTCTTCTGCCTCTCAGATCCTGACTTATCTGGATATCAGTCATCCTGGAGAAAACAATCTCTGTCTGGAACCTGCCTGCCTGCCCTCCGCCTCAGCCTCTGTCTCTGCCTCTGCCCTGAGCCCTCTGCCTGCCGACTAGCCTCTGGACCCACAAGGTTCCCCCCCTGCTGATCAGATTCCCCTCTGAGCAGGTATTAATCCAAGTCATCTGTAAACTGCAAGTTTCCTGGATCCACTCTAACTGATCTATCCTCCTCTAGTGGCTTCCCTCCCGTGACCAGTCTGACAAACCAAGAACCTGTGCATATTTGCTTGTGAACTTTGTAAATAAATCTTTTAACTTTTTCCCCTGTCTGAAGAGTGTTTTCTGCATGTGGGTTAGACGCCTAGACCCCAACATGACACTTTGTATAAAACCTGGAACTCAACGCTATTCTTGACATTTTTAATTGAAAAAAGCTTCCTGGATGGGAAGAGAAACGTCTTCAAACTTGGAAACAAAGTCCAGGGGATTGTTTATAACTTTCTTTATTTTAGAAATTTTCTAAAAACTGTTTTTGTGGCTGTTACACTCATCAAAAGTTAGTTTTTCATGTCTTATGTCAGTGTAAATTTTTTGAATTTGAGTGTGTTAAAGGTAGATTCTGTGTCTACCTTTATGCTTTCTCTCTCTTTCTTTTCCTGCAAAGAGGTCACTCGGGACAAACTCTTTAAATAACACTTCTTAACTTATATGTATTAAATAACCAGGAGACATGACAACAGCTGCTTACCAGCCAGGCTCACTTCTCGGGAAGTGGCCCTGACAAACAGGTGAAGAAGCATTTTATACCTCAGTCTGCCACATCATCACATCGTACATGTTTGCAGATGAGACATCATGGCTCCAGCCTTATCAAAATATTACACTTCATTCTTAGCTGAAGGACGCCGCTCTCATTCCATTCCCAAATATGTGCCACGTACAGAATGAAGATTATAACTGCATATCCGGACAGAGGAACTGTCCTAATTAGATAAACTACCAGGAATAACCATTCTAACATGCAACAGGCAGCTAATATTAAGATTTAATAAACTTCACACATCAATGATAATTATCCTAAGAAGTGTAACCAGCATTTGTGGTAGAAGCACTAGACAAAGCCCTGGGAAAGAGAGACCAATAGGTAACAGTTAAAGAGGAGATATGCTTATAAGAAATGAGTCTATCGGCTGAATATCTGCATAATAGGGACAAACTTAAGTGTAGCGGCCCACTAAGATACTGCCAAGATCTCTGGACAGAAGTTTGAACATTTGACATATTTTTTTAATCAAATACTTTCATGTGGGGGTCCCTCAGGGCTTACTTTTGGGCCCTATCCTGTTCTTGTGGGTTTTTTTTAACCTAGAATTCTCATTGGTTGTTCAGTGGTGCAGTGGGTAGCACTGCTGCCTTGCAGCAAGAAGGTTCTGGGTTTGAATCCCGGCCCAGGGTCTTTCTGCATGGAGTTAACATGTTCTCCCAGAGCATGCATGGGTTCTCTCCAGGTACTCCGGCTTCCTCCCACAGTCCAAAAACATGACTGTTAGGTACAATGGCTTCTCTAAATGGGCACCATTCATGCACAGAGATAGGCACCAGCACCCCTTTCCAAATGGAAGAATGGATTCTTATTAATCTAATTAGTTTCTGCCTCACTCGAGCTTCAGCCAATCGATGAGGCACTACGCTCTCTAAGAAGCCAATCATATCTCAAGGCGCTCTTGATCAAAATGAAGGCCCAGCTTCAGGGCATCAGCTGAACTTTGACCCACCTGTGCCCCATTTCCTCCATCACTAGACTATTCTCAGACCCCCCAATCCCCCGGCTTTAACCACCACCAGTGTCCAGGCCCCGGGCGGAACACTACTTTAATTCTTCATCCAAGCTCATGTTGACTTACTTATTATATAGAATTCAGACAGAATTGGGGCTTTAAACGAGAAAAATGTGTTTACAATTAAATAAACTGGATTAAATATAGAATACCACGTGTATCCTGATCCTATCTAAGGGAGTTCAACCAATATTTGTCTTACCTGCAGCAGTGTCTCCACGCCAGGTGATGCAGCTCTAACACGCTGAGCAGCAGAGAGACGGCCGACACGGCCAGCATGAACACTATGAAGACATTCTTCTCTGTGGGTCTGGAGACATAACAGTTGACTGGATGTGGACATGGCCACGCCTCAGGGAAAAGAAATCAAACAAATTAGGATTTCAGGAAATCACTTTAAAAGATGACATTTAGAATGATACATTTTCTTTATACCTTGCAGACATACAGAGGATGGAGGAAGATACCATAGAGGAAGTACTGCAGACACAAAAACACCACCTGGTAAGAGAGAGGAGTTAAGCTTTGATTACAGCACTGCTTCACAAATCAAATGCAAACAAATAACATATTGCAATAAAACAAACTACAAATAGCTTTAAATAGTACTACATTTAGAGTGTTAATATTGTTTTGAATATTTAATTTATTCATATTCAATGTAGAGAACATCCATGTAAAAAGCAACCCAAACTATTAGCCACTATCACCCCTCATTCCCATAGTAGGAAAGGAGAAGATTCTGCAATGCTATATTCTAAGATTATCTACAGCTACTTTAGTTATTCTACTAAAATTATAGATGAATGGATATTCCAGAACAATTAGGATACTGAGGTGTCACCAGAGTCTCAGCTTGATATCATTCAGAAATGGTTTCCAAACTGAATGTAATCTGTTTAATGTCCCGATCATTCAAATTAAATTCTTCCTCCATGAATAATGTGTTTGAAAGTCTGTGAGCCAGGCTTAAAAGCTAGGAGGTCATCTTTCTGTGGTTTAGATTCAACATCATGAGGCCCCCAATATATCACAATGAGGACTTCATGTTTCCTTCTCAGCAATTTGAAGGAAAAAAAAGAAATTCAGAATTTGGACACGGTTTTTAATGAAAAAACTTTTGTTTTTCTCCATTTTTTTTCTTTCTCTCGATTTTAATTCTCTTCAGATTTTATTTCTTTCTTTCTTTTTTCTCTATGTTTTATATTTTGCATCCATGCAGTCGTCAACATTTTTATTGTTCAAGAAATTTTATGCTAAGGAGAGAATGTAATCTTTAAAAAACTTTAAAATATCCAGTTCGTGAAAGACAATCTGAAAAAGAGACATTTAAACAAATTAGATATAAAACCTATATATAAAAAAAGCAAGGTTTGAAACAGATTTTAAAAAACAATAATAAAATTCTAATAAAACAGTAAAGCTACTTTAAATCCCTTGATGTTGATGAAGAACTTTATCAAAGTTTTATTCCAGGGTTGTTTTTTTTCTACTTTACATTTATAAAAAGTGTTATATGCAATAATAATGGAATAGAATTCACCCCATACACGCTGGTTTCCTTTGCTCACATTATATCAACAATGATTAAATTTGTATAAACTTTAGAGGAAATTACAGAAAAGGATAAAGGTGCTTATAGTCCCAATTTTTCTTTGTATTGATACACAGAATAAGAAAGAAAGAAAGAAAGAAAGAAAGAAAGAAAGAAAGAAAGAAAGAAAGAAAGAAAGAAAGAAAGAAAGAAAGAAAGAAAGAAAAATATGTAACCAAGCCTTCTTTAGCAGCTCATACGGTATTTTTGTTGTTGTTGATTTAAAATAAATAATGTCTAATAAGCTGAAAGTATTATTCTTACCTCCATGATGGTACGGATCAGAATGCTCATTACATATGTCTTCAACAGCGCCCCCCTCAGTCGAATCCGACCTGCAGACGAACTGTCTCCTTTTTCCTTTCCTCCATCCTTCTCTGCATTCTTTCCCTCTTTGTCCCCTCCTCCTTCATCACCCCCTCCTTGGTCTTCCTCTTTCCCTCCTCCACCTCCTTCCTCCTCCTCCCTGCTCCTTCTCTTCTCCTCCCTGCGAACCGTGTGCATGGCGTGGCCCATGTAGATTAAACTTGGAGTGGAGACAAACACAATTTGAAGCACCTGTAAAGACAGCGGCACCGTTTACTTCCAGATAATCAGAATGAAGGCTGATAAAATGAAGCTGTTCTTCTAATCACAGACTAGTGCTTTAAAATCGTCCTCCAAAAGAAGCTTCAACACCTGCTTGCATCTGTAACATTGATAAGCGCTCCTTTGAAACAATGCTGGAATATTGAATCTCCTTTTTACGGTTCACAAACAACAGTTGCTTAGTTTCTTTAACTCAACAAGTAGCAAACCCCATGAGGATTTTTTTTTTTTTGTCTCAAATCACCCTAGCTTGCTTTACCCTTAAGGGGGATGTTTATCTCTGTAGATAATCTCACTGCCTTCACCAGAACTTTTCTTCCTTCAACATCAACAATAAACCCTTTCAGACTCTGTTTTGTCACATTTTTTAGAAATGGCTAAACAAATCGGGAAAATGTCTTTTCATTTCTGTATTTGTCGTTCAGAAGCCATGCAGGGTTTGCCAGAGGCATTTATACACTTTCAATGTTTTTCTATTTGTCAAGTCAAAACTACAAACCTCCATGTATTTTCCAGAGATTTTATGTGATACAAGCTTTTTTGTATTTTCTTATAAAAATATGAAGAACACAGCTTACTTGAGTTTAATTTGCTCAGCTTTACTCTACTCTGGATTGATTTTCCAGAACTTATCATCTCAATGTCTATTTTCAGTAGAAAGACGAACCCACAGTTTTATTTAATACTTGGTAATGATACAAACACAACCGTAGCTAAAGGCTGTTATTCAGTTCATGGCTTTTGTCAGACTCAGAATGACAGACAGCACCAGGCCAAGGCCATGGGGTGGTATCGCTTAAGTTTACAAGTTAGCGTAAAGCTAACATTTCTTAAAGCTAGCTTGCCAAGCTGGTCATAACAATCTAAATGGTGATAGTAAATAGCTGCTTAGGCATCTTCCAACTTAGCAGCTCTCCAGCAGTGATGCTGAGAAACTAGTCCATGCATTTGTTACTTCAAGGCTGGACTATTGTAATTCTTTACTATCAGGAAGTCCACAAACTGTAGTTAAAAGCCTTCAGCTGATCCAAAATGCTGCAGCCAGAGTTCTAATGAAAATTAAAAAGAGAGATCATATCTCTCCTATCCTGGCTTCTCTTCATTGGCTTCCTGTTAAATCCAGAATAGAATTTAAAATCCTCCTTCTCACATATAAAGCCTTAAATGGCCAAGCTCCATCTGATATCAGAGATCTGATTGTTCCTTATGTTCCTAACAGAGAACTTCGCTCTCAGTGTGCCCACCCTAATTAGCCTAGTGCCTAAAATTTCTAAAAGTAGAATGGAAGGCAGATCTTTTAGTTATCAGGCTTCCCTCCTGTCTTTTGATAAAGCTTATAGTTAGAGTGGCTCAGGTTATCCTGAGCTATCTCTATAGTTATGCTGCTATAGGCTTAGACTGCTGGAGGACATAGGGACCCCTTTTTCATCATTCTGCTTCATTCTATCTCTATTCTCCCACTCTGCAGAATCTGTTAGTTCAATCTCTAACGTTCTGCTCTCTCTGCTTTTTCTCATAGTAGCTTCATCTGGTCTGTTCCTGTTAAGCTGTGTCACCATCCTGGCGGGAATATCAGGTGTTGATGTCTGTACTGTCATCAACACATTCACATATATTTGAAAGAGTTGTGCCTGTTTTTTTAGTGTTTAATCCTGTTTCACTCCTACACATGACTATGAACTCAGCTTTTGCTGAGACTAGCATGATGGGCTCTCTTTCAACCCCTTTTGTTACAAAAACTGGCTTAGAGCTCCTCTGATTAAATGTTTCTTTCCTAGACAGAGCCAACCTATGGAGTTTGTTACTTTTACATTTTATAACATAGAAAGTAATGCAGCGGTGCTTCCATGTTTCTGTCACATGTTTGCTTCTTTCTTGAACCCTCAGTTGCAGCTAAAGGCTGCTCACACTGAACTTGGTTCTTCTTGTGGTTTCTTCCTGTTAAAAAAGAGTTTTTCCTCTCCACTGTGAGGGATTGCTGTAGAGTTAACGACAAAATGCAAACAAATATCTACCGTAGCCATACGCTCATGCAGGAGGAGGGAATCCTGCACAGCCATTGACTAGATACAGTCAGCTGGTTTTCCTTAGAACACTTTCAACCAGTCTGTCTGTATGAGTTGGTTTAATGGTCTCTAAAGGACCTTGAGAGGACATGTTGTAAATTAATGCTACAAAAATAAACTAAACTGAAAGCTAATTGAATCTTATGGCATCAAACTTAAGAGATTTGGTTTTGGGTGTTTTCCACTAGCTTTAAACAGAGTTTAAACATATATGTTTATACGTTGAAGATAATTTCAACCCGATGTATAACTGCAAAGGTGGTGTAAGTTGTTTGTATGGATACCCAGTATCGTATGTGTGCTATAGGAAACGCTCGGTCATAACAGACGTTCTCGCAGCCTGGCTGCTCTGTGTCACAGTTGAAATCTTCCTGCTCATCTCCCCACGACGATTCAGCAGCCGTCCCGAGCACCAGGATGCGGAAGATAAACAGGATGGTCAGCCACACCTGAGGAGCAACAACCAGCAGACATATTATACCCTGGAAAGCCAAAGCAATATCGCAATGACAGACGGTTTATTGGCTGTTAGTAGGTGAAATGTAACCAGAAACATTCAGCTAAGTAGCAGCAAAGAACATCATTATTTTTCCATTTTTCTGGTGCTACAGGAGGTTAGAAAAGATGTCTCTTCAAATCCTTATTAATCAAAAAGTATTGGAGATGGTTTATTATCTGCTAATTAAAATCTGCTTTTATTGGCCCATTGGTTTATATTCTGGCTCTTGTTCTGGACTGGAACTCATTGGACCAATGTTTTTCTTTTCTCATACGATCTGTAAAAACCACAGTTGCAACATTGCTGCATTATTATTCACCAAATAGAGCCGATTTACTTTAAAATATTTTGTGCCGAGAATGACGAGATGAGGGGGTGGGTTCTGGTGGAAGTGAGGTTATATTCCAGTCCAAACATGTTTACAGAGAGAACACTAAGGCCCTGATCTTTAAAGAATCCAAATATGGAGTGTTAAATTACATGTGCAAAACTGTTAAAGATTGCTCACAGAAACGATTAGACGAGCAAACTAGTTCCGCCCCATTAAAAGGAAAAAATGGGGTGTTACATTGGCAGTTTGAGAGCGATCATAAAAGAAAGATAAGTTCTTATAGTTTACAATTAGAATAATATTGATACATTTTGTTTACATTGGATTTAACATAAGTAACACATAAGCGCTAAACAATAGTAAAAAATAAAAGAAAAACATTGAGATTAAATGTCTCAGATTAACATCAAGTGAATTTTGTTGCATCATTGAGACACGGTTTGGAAATGAAAATTTGAAAAAATATAAATTTGGAAATAAAACGTCTTAAGAAACATTTTTTTAAATGTTTTTTTTATATATATATATTTTTTTTCAGTTTTTTTTATATTTGATTTTATTAATCTCATTCTTTAAGATTTACAGACCACATTCTCTTAATTCCTGGGGCGGGCTTTCTTCTGGAATGAGGGGCGAAGTTTTTATTTCTGTTAGTCTGGACGGACGTTAGCATAAACATCTTTATTAGTCAATGTGTAGTCAAAAGCAAATGTTTGTATTTGTGTTTGAAGTAAATGTAATTCATGAAACTTAATTGGAAAAAGAAAAATTTGAACAATAAAATCAGAAAGAATGATGAAAACAATAACAATAAATAAAAAAAAATATATATATATAAAAGAATTTGGAAAAATAAAGGAAAATATGACAAATCAGCAAGGTTACTCTGAAAAATCTTTTTTGATTTTTCAAACTTCAAACAAGTGGACCATGTTATTCTGCTCACTAGGATAGCAGCAGTGCTGTTTAAGCACTTAAAAAAAAATAAAAAGTGGTAGCAGTAATGAAAAGTTACCAGTAAGAGGAAAAGATCCAAAGCCTATTAGTCTCTGCAGAAATCTAATATGTGAAATTCATTTACACAGAAGTATGTGCATTCAGGTCTATGCGGAGCAGCTGTTATTCTATGTGCTCAGGGCAAAGCAGGTATCTTTATCCTTTTTTGTTTTCTTTTTAGGGGAATGTTTATTATAAATATATTTGTGTTTGTTTTATAACAGGGACTAAAAATAATAATCATTAAAAAAAATAAATAAATAAAACTAGAAGTGTAAAGGTAGATTATGTGAGTTTTTTTGACCTTGTGAGTCAAAATGACCAACAGTAAGTCTACCACAACCTGTGGTGGAGAGCTCCCAGTGCTGAATGAAGTATTGATAGGAAGCATCCCTCCTTCCTTACTGCCAGCACTATTCAGACAGCACTTATCATGATTTATCCAATTCATCTGGAGCCTTAATCTTGAGCTGTGTTCGAACGTCCACCCTAACCCCTCAATCACTATTTAGAGCAGGGACTATATAGTGAATCAGTTAACTGACCGTTTGAACAGATCATCACTAATTCTCATTTCCCGTTGGTCAAGTGACTCTGGGTCTCCCCTCGGTACCTGCACCATCTTTGTTCTCTCTCGCCCCCAAAATAAATCTGATGATGCTTTGCAAGGAAAGTTCTCACAAAGTATTAGTGACCATGGTTGCGTAATACTTTTCAAGGTGCATTGTGGAAAATTTTAAGTCAGCTCCAGCACTTTTCATTCACTAGACATTCAGACAGCACCTATACAGGGCTCTATAGAGGTCAGACATTCCTAAACAGCCTTGGTGATGCCTTCTGTGTAGTCAAGGTGTCTGCTTGTTTTTACGTTTAGTTTTCCTGACAAAAATGTAAATATTTGCGCTCCAATATCTCTTAAGCTAAATAATTATTGTCCAAAGTGTACCTGCAAGATCCCTGGGCACAAGCTTTGAGTTGGAACATAAACAAGTCAAACTAGAGATGCATGTTCTATTCTGAGTGTATAAATGTTTATCCTCTATGCGTCGGGGGTGTCAGTGCTTTTTTTTTAGCTTTGTTTTCTGTATCTTACTTTGCCAACAGAGGTGGAGTGCTCCTGTACTTCTTCCAGGAAGTTTCCCAAAAGGCTCCAGTCTGCCATGACCGACTCAAGCTGAGCTTGGACTGTTTAATTTCCTCCGCTGGTAATCTCTGAACTGCTGACCTGCTGATACAAGATACCCCTAAGAAAAGAACAAATAACTGGTTTAGATGATGCCTTCAGGTACCCCCATTCAACCTTTCACTTCTGCTAGATAACGCTTTGAATTGAATTTGCCGTAGATTTTCAAATTATTTTAGTTTTTCATGATGTATACAAAGAAAAACACAGAAAACAAGTAAAACGAAGCAAAAACATCAGTTAAAGACTTATTTGAGTTCCCCTGCAGCTTTTATAAATTCCCTTAGGGTAAAAATGTGAAGAAGGCACTGAAAACTACCGACTCCACTCTCTCAGGTTGTGTTGTGTGCGTGTGTGTGTTCTCCTATTATCTTGACCCCATTGACTTCATCTCCACCCTGGCCCCGACCCAATTTATAAAAATGTCTGTGCCCATGTCTTAGTTTAGCCTCGTTTTCCAAGTTCCCACACTCCCCTCGCTCCCTCTGCCTCTGGGGAAGGAAAACTAGAGGTCTGCTCACAACATGCACGCACACACACACATACAAGGGCAAAAAAAAAAAAACTCTCGGCCATTGTGTCCCTGCAGTTTTGCTCTCTTTGAATATTGAAAATAAACCTGAATGTACTTTTTATGCTGAAAACTAAAACTTAGATCCTGAACAAAAACACAAACCATTATATAAAAGTACAAAGTTGTACTGGCTAGCAGTGCAGGAGGAAGCACATGTAGCTGCTGCTATAACAACTATTTTTGTCAAAATTGAGGCTTTTATCTCTAAAAGAGGAACAGCAGGAAACTAAGAGCATGAAGTGGTGGTTTCTCATGGTGTCTGCTGCTATTTCATTTGATACTTTCATTGGCTGAAACCAAACTTTGGTTTCTAAGTGCTGCTTGGTGATAGCAGAACCAAACCTGTGTTCATTGTGTTGAATGTTCATCCTTTCTTTCCCCAAACAGGTTTGGTGGGAGGAGTCCTAGATCCATAATATATAGAACCAAGCGACACATGTTTAAACTGGCTTGCCAGGTTTAATGTTAAGCAAAGCTTAAACTTCAAAAATAAGATTTACTACACCAGCGTGAGTTGACGTAATAAATTAATATAAAAAATGTTAAGCAGCATGATCATCTCCTTTAAAGTGTATTTTTAAAAAACAGAAATCAAGACACAAAAATGAAAGACTTAATAAAATGTGCTTCCTTAGAGTAGCGATAAATCTTTCTGTCCACTTTTTTTGTAAAAAAAAAGGGAAAAGTCAAAATACATGATTTACTTCTAAACTCAAAGCATTACTTTTTAAATGGACCAGTTTCATCAATGCTTTATTTTATTAGTTTTTAGTTTTAGTTTGTTTTTATTAGAAATAAGCTTCAAAGACTTTATTGGATATAAAGTTCAAACCCCAGCAGGAAGAAGAAAATAACATTGAAATTGGAATTTGAAGCAGAAAATAAGTCTGAGGAGTGTCTTAAACAAACCAGAGGATCAAACTCCTTTCTTTTCATTTTCTGAACACTTCTTTATCAACTAAAATCCCAGTTAAATGCCCTTCCTTTCCTGTTTTTGAGAAACCATAAGGGTTTTGAATAGATTTGTGTGTTCATGTCCTTCATAAGTGCTCCCAGCATCATTAATAACAATATTACTTCCCAGTATAGACTTTCGCCTGACCTTTGTGTGCCAATATATGTGTGTGTGTCGGTTAGCAGCACTTGGTATTGTTCTACATCCTGTCCAGAAAGCACACACACCTTCACACATACTGGAAACCGCTCATACTTCAGCTGATATACAATAAAAACAGATAAATCACTATAATCACTTTATTTAGAAGTTTAAATAACGTAAATATTTGGTGCTATGCAGCCTAATTAAATAAATTTTCTCAGGTAAAAAAAAAATCTTTTAAAATTAACCTTTCAAGCATTTTACATTGAGCTTTTTGGGCAGAAAATGATCAATTAACAGATATAAGGGCTTCAAAACATCAGCTTGTGTGTCATTAATCTCTATCAGTGGGAGTCGAGACCCTGCAAAGGGTCCCAAAACCCCACGTTAGAGTTTGTGAAATGGTTTTCACGATCATTGTGATGTTTTTCTTGATTTATATTAAGAGTGAAAATATATCATGAATAAATAAATGAACGAACCATGAAATAAGTAGATGTAATGATGATTTATCTATTAATCAAATGCATTAATCAATCAAATATAGCTTTAAACTGCACAGTTTAAAGCTATGCACAATGAGGATAATAAATGATACATTTAAAATTATGAATCAAATTACTAAATGCTATTAACAATAAGAATATTTAAAAATTCTAACAATTATTTCATGTTTTATGTATAAATAAATAAATAAATAGAGCATAAAATAATTCTGCGTGTTTTTAGGGGGCAGCAGTCTGTCGCTTTATTGCTTTTGCAGATAAAGGTAAAAAGTTTTCGGAACCCTTGATTTATATAATTGGTTTACTTCAAGGATTTGACTAAAAAAAAGAAACTTTCTAATCTGTTAAATAGGATTACACTATCATCCCTGTGTGAGTTACAAATCTTAATAAAAGTTAAAAGTCCAAAGTGGTCTTAAAAGTTAACATTTTACTTTCTTTAACTCCAAACAATATTTTTGTTATTATTTTGTGTAATTTATTACTTAAAGAATATTATTTCGGACTAGAAATTGTTGAATATTTGTTGAAGACATTTTACCTGATGTAAAAAAGGCAGACGATGAGAATCTGATGGAAACACAAACGATGTAGTGAGGTTAAAGTGACGAACGCCTTTTTCCTCTGCAGGAGTTGCAGAAAAAAAAAAGAAACACTTGATCCTCTACTTCACAGGTGATCTGAAGGGAGTCTGTGTCTGACAGCAGTCACAGTCCCTGTTATCTGTTATCTAGTGTCCTACCGCCTTCACTAATGAGAAAAATGAATGGAGACAGTCTGAAAACTCGGATGAATGAGGAGAGCTGACTATTCTGAGTCAAACCAGCTGCTGGTCGTGTCCAGGAGGTCTGGAGTGAAACAAATTCGAGGGAGACTGTGATTTATACACGCCTCTCACCCCTCCTTTCCTCTCTTGCTTCTCTTTCTTATCCACATCTCCAGAGGAAGTGGGCCTGGTGCCTCGCTGCCTGCTATTCAAAATTAATGTATGTGTTTGTTTGCAGCTTCTGGCATCTGAAGGAAGTCGTGTATTGTACGAGGACACAATGGCTGAAGGTCTCCCTCCTGCATTCCTTCAGCCGTTCTTCTCTATATGTCTGCCCCTTGGCAGCCGTAGATGGCTACTGCTGGCAGATTTTTCATTAACTATCAATCTTCAGCAATACATTTAAAAGGGCAAAATTAAAGAGGCATCATATGAAATCTGAAACTGGAATGAGTAGCTGACACCTTTAGGTGCTCATAAGGTGTCAGAGGCATTTTAGTATCTATCCCATTTTATAGAAGCGACTGGATAGAATAATGTTCTTATTCAGTTAATAAGGGATTTTAAAAGTTGTGTTTGAGAGTAGTGACCTATTCTGACCCAGAGCTGTGGTTTGCCTCTGGAATACTGTGAGGAACCGAGTGAGAAGGCAAGAGCAAAAGGTTGTTTTTTTCAATTGTTTCAAAAGTTTACTTCTTTATACTAAAAACCATGCTGTTTAATTTTTTTAAACTTTATTTTATATATTTTTGTGGACTTGTCTTCATTCTTTCCTCACTATGCTGGCAGATGCTAACTGGCTTAGCCACAGTAGGCTACTTGTGCAGCATCATACCTGCTGTTGTAAATATTTACAAATTTTAAAACAGAAAAATACTGGACAATAAACCAATAGGACGGGGTAATGTTTTAGAAAGAATTGTTTAGAGCCAGAATTACAGATGTACACTCACCGGCCACTTTATTAGGTACCCCATGCTAGTAACGGGTTGGACCCCCTTTTGCCTTCAGAACTGCCTCAATTCTTGGTGGCATAGATTCAACAAGGTGCTGGAAGCATTCCTCAGGGAGTTTGGTCCATATTGACATGATGGCATCACACAGTTGCCGCAGATTTGTCGGCTGCACATCCATGATGCGAATCTCCCGTTCCACCACATCCCAAAGATGCTCTATTGGATTGAGATCTGGTGACTGTGGAGGCCATTTGAGTACAGTGAACTCATTGTCATGTTCAAGAAACCAGTCTGAGATGATTCCAGCTTTATGACATGGCGCATTATCCTGCTGAAAGTAGCCATCAGAAGTTGGGTACATTGTGGTCATAAAGGGATGGACATGGTCAGCAACAATACTCAGGTAGGCTGTGGCGTTGCAACGATGCTCAATTGGTACCAAGGGGCCCAAAGAGTGCCAAGAAAATATTCCCCACACCATGACACCACCACCACCAGCCTGAACCGTTGATACAAGGCAGGATGGATCCATGCTTTCATGTTGTAGATGCCAAATTCTGACCCTACCATCCGAATGTCGCAGCAGAAATCGAGACTCATCAGACCAGGCAACGTTTTTCCAATCTTCTATTGTCCAATTTCGATGAGCTTGTGCAAATTGTAGCCTCAGTTTCCTGTTCTTAGCTGAAAGGAGTGGCACCCGGTGTGGTCTTCTGCTGCTGTAGCCCATCTGCCTCAAAGTTCGACGTACTGTGCGTTCAGAGATGCTCTTCTGCCCACCTTGGTTGTAACGGGTGGTTATTTGAGTCACTGTTGCCCTTCTATCAGCTCCAACCAGTCTGGCCATTCTCCTCTGACCTCTGGCATCAACAAGGCATTTCCGCCCACAGAACTGCCGCTCACTGGATGTTTTTTCTTTTTCGGACCATTCTCTGTAAACCCTAGAGATGGTTGTGCGTGAAAATCCCAGTAGATCAGCAGTTTCTGAAATACTCAGACCAGCCCTTCTGGCACCAACAATCATGCCACGTTCAAAGTCACTCAAATCACCTTTCTTCCCCATACTGATGCTCGGTTTGAACTGCAGGAGATTGTCTTGACCATGTCTACATGCCTAAATGCACTGAGTTGCTGCCATGTGATTGGCTGCTTAGAAATTAAGTGTTAACGAGCAGTTGGACAGGTGTACCTAATAAAGTGGCCGGTGAGTGTATAATTCTGAAAATAAATGCTGTTATCATGCAACTTAAATAATCACTCAGTATAAAGGATTTAACAGCATATTTGTTTTAAAGTGCTCACAAAAACCAAGCGAGTTCATTCCCACAGAAGAACAACGTCATTAAGAAATAATCACCTCCTTACAGATTTCTTATCTTTTTATTATTTGTCATACTTAAATGTTTAATATAGCATTTTATTATCAGATTTAGATAGCCTTAGGCCATAGGAATAATAATGTCAGACTGATGAGTGGTTAGATTTAAACTGACTTTTGGTGAAAATTTATTTGTCTGTGTTTTTAAGTAAGATATTTTATGTTATTAAACTAATTTATTCTTCAATGTTATCAAGAATCTGAATCAAGTAATTATCTCAACAGCAGCTGTCTTACACCAAAGACAAAAAGAAAGACGTTATACATTTATTTGAACTTTCTTTGTCTGATAACAATATTGACTTTATCATCTGAAAAACTTAACGTAATTGAGGAGGTACAAAGCAGTTTTGTTTCAGAAATAATGGCTGCAGATGCACCATGTGATGTCAGTTTGTGGCTCCATGATGACAGAAGGAGTAGATTTCTCACACAGTTTTGCTAAAGGCTCCAATGATAGATGCGGGGAGATTTTGCAGTAGCTATGGTTTTATCTCTTATTTTTTTCCAAATAGAACTTGTGATAGATTTAAATACACCCTGACTTCCCACAGGCCATCACTGGTGTGTTTTTTCCTTGCACTTTTGAAGTTGCGGTGAAACCATATGACACTTAAAACATTAGTGGTGAACAGTGTTAACCTACCACTAGCCTTTGATTTTTACACCAAATGTACTGCAGTCTAAAATGATTTTTTATTTTTTATTTCCAGAAGGCTGCACTGTAATGATGTTGTTCTTTTAAAATGCCATGACAGTTGATTCCCGGTCGTGTCAAATGCTGAGTTAACACAGCCTTGGGTTATTTATCACTATGAAGTCCCACTTTTGTATTTAGACTTTGAACCCAGTTATATTCTGTGAAAATTATTCAAATTCTTAAAAAAAATAGAAAAGGTCACAAAAGGGCAATTTACCAAACAGATTTCCCAGAGATACGACCCTCTTTTTACTTTAATCAAAGTCTTTGGGTTTCATATGACCCGTTTATTCAAGAAGACACTAAACACAGGAACTCATTCTTTTCCCAAACGAGGATGGGGGGAAAACAGATGGTCCCCAGTGAGGATTTTTAGATTCTCCCTATTACATATTGCTTTCAGACAAACAGACAGAAGAAATTCAATGAGTATTTCAGAACAAAGAACCTTTTTCTTATACTGACAATGCAAACAATCCTCGTTATCAAACTGGCGATGTTTGTTCCCTGTTAGTTCGCCTCAAAGTTACAAACTTTAGATTATTTAGATAGAATTTGATCTAACAGAGACCATTAAAAGGATTTATCATCCAGAAATCAGGCTGTTTCATGTTAAAACATGTGTCCTGGTGTTTGGCTTCAGTTAAAACCTGCAGGGAAAAAAAGGTTTATTGTGTTGGCTCTTTGTTCAAACCGACATGGTTTTATGAATGCTTCCGACCCAGATGCAGAAATAACTCTCAAAACACAAAGAATCACAGTTAAAAACTTTAATGAGTCAGAATAAAGACATGTGCAATGCTGAATCAGGTCTGAGTGGAAACAACGACATGGAAAGCAGAGAGCTTTGAAATGGATACACGGTCATGTATGTAGGCCTCTGAGATAATTTATGGAATTAGACTTTTGTTCATTTGAGATCTTATGAAGTTAGTGTGGTTTAGGTAACCTGACTTCCGCCAGATAGATTTGCTCCGCATATCCATCTGGAAACCTTCCGTAGAAGTAATTTTGGGAAGGGGCGAAAATACTGGTTAGCTGATTGGCCTATGTTGTGATAGACGGGCCAAATAAACCAATCAGATCAACGAAGCATATGATGTAACAGAGCGACGATGAAGAGGAGCCAATTGATAGATCAAACTCTTGCC